GCGATATGAACTAGTGTCTGTGAATATTCAAATGCAAAAAGACGGTTTAAATATGAATCCTGCATGTTCCGCTTGCCTCTGTATGAATGAATGGCGGAGACGCGGTTTTGTTTACTACACAAATACTGAAGCACGTGTGACGCTCACTGTGATTTTCGGCCTCTGCAACTCACTATATGACGGCATGAACACAAAAACTTAATCTCCAGAGCTGCTTTGCGAGAATTTTACCGTTTCATTTGATAAAACTAGCATCATCATGCTGTATACACACAGAAACTTCCTGGCAACCTGTCAAAATAAAAGTATGGTTTAACATGTAACAGAAATATATTACTCTTGTATTATTTTTGTAAAGTATAATGTACATCTTTAAATATTCCATTTTCTATCAAATTTAAATAAAACAATTAAATGATAAAAATAAATATTACAACCAGCTTAATCACTTAATTGTAGAAAAAAATAAAACAATTATTAGCCCATTAAAAAATGTTTTAAAGGAATATTCACACAATTTTTCTTCCATGTATTAATTTCAACAGTAAACCTCAGTTTGTTTGCCAAAAAATAAGAAAGAAAGAAAAAGTCTGTAGGGCCCTATTGTTCAAAATGTTGAAATTGAGACTTTTGGACTTATTTTTTCACTGAAATAAATGTTTTTGTAATTACACAGAGAGTAAAGTACCGAAAAAAGGTACCATTGGGTACCGGCACCGAAATTCAGCTACCGATACCGGTACCGTACTGGTTAAAATGTGAACGGTAACCAACCCTACTTGCAACAGGGTTATAGAACATGCAAAATATAAAACTACTAACACAAAAACTACTAAAAAACACAAGGGCTTTTGAGACTTGTAAACATTTCAGCCAACCACATGATTTTCACTAAAGTTCACACCAATATTAGTGGTATTATTGTTACAGTACTGTATAAACAAAAGGAGTGTCCAATGAGAACTGTACTAATAAAGTACTAAAACCTATCCCACTGTGATTAGAAATAGTCTCATATATCACGGCTTCCTGGTGCTAACAAGTATGTAGCGCTACAATGCTAACAAGCTTTCATGGACTCCTCACACCTGAGCTCATGGCAATCTGCTGGTGGAGTTCACAGGTTTACTTCTGCAATACGCCCCTGATGTACTGGTGTCACTGGAGAGAGAGCCAGAGAGGGAGTGCACAAGTCATAGAAATACTCTCTCTCACTTTCTCTCCAAATCAACACTAGCATCCTGTTCGTCTGTGACCAATACTCTTCCAGTAAGCAGCACACACACCGACACACAACCTCTCCATCCTCTGACAGTCAGCATTAGTGGCCTGCTGAGTTCAGCTCAACACAAACATACACACTTGTGAACACACACACTCAACAATATAGCTCAACAATATAACAAGTGATGTAATGAAAATTCAATATATATCCGCAATGACTTGTTGGCATCAAAACATGTAGAATTCTTTTTTAAACCACTTTTTGTTTGGAGATACAGCGCCAAATGTACTAAACAGGGCAAATTAGTGTGAGAACCCAATCCCATAAAAGCACAGACGGGAGTGGAAAGTTTTGCGGGTGATCTACTGACAAAGCACAAATTATAGAACACAGACGAAGCCGGCTCATTTACATTAATGACCAATGCATTCAACAAAGAGCAACACAAGTGCAAAATATTAAGACATGCCTTTTTTGGACGTTAAATAATGGCGAAATACTAAAGCAATAAGCCCCAAGAAGCCGTGGTTTACAGTGAATTTATAACAGCTAAGGGGCGTTGTTAGGCACGACGCGTAGCTGAGATAAATTCAACGGTTATTCCATATAAGTAGTAAGGTTTCACAGAATAAAACAGAGCAAATAAAGTGTAATGATATAAATAAAAACAGTATTCTTCCACCAAACAATGAAGTCCCTCAAAAACAGTTGTGGTTCCAACAAAGTGGTTGCCGAGCAACACACAGAAGTAAACAAAGGTGTATGTTTGTAGTGTAATTTACAACAGCTTCGAACGCGGCTCAACCAATCAGAATCAAGGACCGGAACTATCCGTTTTATAATAGTAAACTGACTACTGCAAATCTTAGTAAATCACCTTGCATGATTTATTTAAATACACTCCTCCCATAAATTGTGTCTGAAAGGTAAACTCTCAGTTGCAAAAATAACTGTCCATCACTGCGCCTTAGTAAAAAACTATTAAATTATTAGATTTTTACTGCAATTAACATTTTAAATCTACACTACCATTCAGAAGTTTGGGCTCTATAAGATTTTTTATTATTTTTGAAAGTCATCTCCAATGCTCACCAAGACTGCTTTTACTTGAGCAATACAGTAAAATAGTAATATTGTGAAATACTATAATTCAAATAACTGTTTTCTATTTTAAATTGTCATTTATTTCTGTGATGGCAAAGCTGAATTTTCAGCAGCCATTACTTGAGTCTTCAGTGTCACATGATCCTTCAGAAAAAGAAAAAAAAAAACATTTATTTTCATCAGTGTTAAAAACAGTTTTGTTTTTTTTATTATTATTTTATAAGGACAAATGCATCACCTGAAAGCTGAATAAATAAGCTTTCCATTAATTTGTTAGGATAGGTCAGGACAATATTTGGCCGAGATACAACTATATGAAAATCTGGAATCTGAGGGTGCAAAAAAAATCTAAATATTGAGAAAATCGCCTTTAAAGTTGTCCAAATGAAGTTCTTAGCAATGCATATTACTAATAAAAAAATTAAGCGTTTATATATTTACAGTGGGACATTTACAAAATATCTTCATGGAATATTATCTTTACTTAATATCCGATAGAAAAATCGATAATTTTGACCCATACAATGTATTTTTGGCTATTGCTACAAATATACCCCCGCGACTTAAGACTGGTTTTGTGCTCCAGGGTCACATATGCTGATTTGCTGCTCAAGAAACATTTCTTATTATTATCAACGTTGTAAACAGCGCTGATTAATATTTTTGTGGAAACATTGTGCAAACATTTTCTTTCAGGATTCTTCATTGAATAGCAAGTTCAAAAGAACACCATTTATTTGAAATAGCAATCCTTCGTAACATAGTAAATATTTTTTACAGTAAATAGAACTGTTAATATCTTACTGCACTGACCCCAAACTTTTGAACGGTAGTGTAATTGGTCATATTCCATGTTTGACTGAAAAAATGTTTAAAAACCTTTTCAAAGTACATATTGAGATATGTATTGGATACTATCAAAAGTGTGAAATTTCAAGATAGAAGTGTTTTTGCTATTTCGCTCAGCCCTAACACTCTATGCGCACTCACTCACACTCTGAAAAAAGTGTTGATAGCTTGGTCATGCTAAATTAAGGCGAAGAACCGATGACCTGTGGTGAGACTAGGCTGTGAGTCCGTCCACTACCTCCTGCAGGGAAAGGTCAAAAGGGAAATGCTGAGTTCAGCACTTACTCTGACAAAGTTGTCAGGGAAGAGCCCTCTCCGACCGTCCAGCTCTCCCTCCCACCAGCCGCCCTCATCCTTCCTGATGTTACTGATGATGTCACCGACAGCGATGGTCAACTCGTCATCGTGCTGGGCCTGGTAATCAAACTCCACAATGGCTTCCACTGAGAGAGAGAGAGAGAGAGAGAGAGGAAAACAAACAGAGCGATTTAGAGGTCATGGTTACATGCAGGAAGCAGGAAATACAGTATTACTGTACAAGACTCACACAGACACGTAACTTTCACCACTGAATGAAAATGACAGCACCATCTACACAACATCCATTTATATCGCTTATAAAAATCAAGATATAGTTGTGATCATTACACTTGGTCTTACAGAAAATGCAAACATTTTAAATATGGCTTTTGGGATTCAACGTTACCATGTTTTTGGTAACAACAACACTAGGCTGTTATAGGTGGTTGCTAGGGTGTTGCTATGTAAGTACTACGATGTTTAAAATGTTTTTAGTGTGTTGTTATGCTGCTGTGTGTGTGGTCAGTCATTCTAAAGTATTCCAGATGGTTTCTACTGGGTTGCTATGTAATTCCTGGGTGTTGTGGTTGGTTTCTAGGGTGTTGCTATGTGATTCTAAGACATGGCTAGATAATGTCAGGGTGTTATGGGTGGTTGCTAGGGTGTTTTTATGTTTGAAATATTTTAGAATGTTGCTAGGTGAATCTAGGTTGTTCTGGATGGTTTCTAGGATGTTGCTATGTGATTCTAAGACATGGCTAGAGATTCTAGGGTGTTATGGGTGGTTGCCAGGGTGTTTTTATGTTTGGAATATTTTTAGTGTGTTGCTAGGTAATTCTAGGGTGTCCTGGATGGATTCTAGAGTGTTGTTAAGTAATAAAAGCGGTTTCTGGGTGGTTGCTAGGACGTTGCTATGTTGGTACTAAGGTGTTTTTGAGTGTGTTAGTGTGTTACAATGCTGCTATGTGTTCTGGTTTGTTTATAAGGTGTTTCCAGATTATTCTAATGTATTCTGAATGGTTTCTAGGTAATTGATAAGTGATTTTAATGTATTCTGGATTGTTTCTAAGGCATTGCTAGGTGATTATAGGGAGTTTAGGATGGTTGCCAAGGCATTGCTATGTGGGCACTAAAAAGTTTGAAAGGTTTTTGTGAGTTGTTATGCTTCTGTGTTCAGAGTTGATTCTAGGGTGTTGTTAGACGACTTTAATGTGTTCTATATGGTTTATAGATGTTGCTAGTTTATTCTAGACTGTTCTGGGTGGTTTCTAGTGTGTTGCTAAGTGACTTTAATGTGTTCTAGATGGTTTATAGGTGTTGCTAATTGATTCTAGAGAGTTCTGGATGGTTTCTAGGGTGTTGCTAAGTGATGTCCTGGGCGTTTTTATGGCATTTTGAGCAGTTGCTTATTATTTCAAGTCAAAAGAGCCCATTCCCAAATCGCTATGATATTTTGGTCTCTAGATATGGCTTGGGATTTTCTTCGATATAAGTCTAAGGGAGTTTTTCACCCATTTTATTGTCCTTGATTGAGAAAATCGTAAGTGTAAACACTTTAAATCACAATGATTTATTTTTATTGCAATTTCATTTGTCGCCACTATGGTGTAGAAATTACACATTGCACCCTTTAAGTTTATGCAAATCCCCAAATGAACAATAGAAATAGTGATGCTTACCACAAAAAAATACTTTATATGTGCTCTGACAATATCATAACTTATTTTAATCATATATTTACAGCAATAAAACATTTACTGAGATAGCAAGAGAAAGATATGAGTCCTTCCATAGGGATAAGAGCTAATAGGCCCCTGGAGCATAAGCAGGCATCATGTTTTTGCTGCAGATAGGAGTATTACTCTATGTGAGATCAAGGCAGGAGCGAAAGCAACAAAACAAGGATCCGAGAAATTAAAGTGACAAAATATTTTCATGTTACAGCTTATAATATTAAAAAGAAGCTTTTTGAACTCTAGTGAACTACACATGTGCTATTTCTGGTAGGAAAGTGCAAGATGAGAATGTCATCCTCTCAGCCTTGGATTTAAATTGAATTGTGTGTTTGCATGAGGTCATGACGGTGAGGAGGGGTTACTGTGAGGATGGGGATGAGAGATGGAGATACAACATCACAATGATGCATTTATGAGTCATCAAGCCATGCCACACAAGACGAGATCACACCCACACCTCGCTCCAATGCAACGCACACTGCACACACACTGCACACACACAGCAGGACACTGCAAACATCCTTTGTGACTTCTATATGATGTTTGATCTATATGGCAGCTCTGACGACAGGTTTCATATCGGATACCGACCCACCCGGATTATCACTCCATTTACAAGTGTATCGATAACCTACCATTAGATACTCCAAAATACATTAATGCATGGTCTATAGCAGGGCTGTCCAAACTCGGTCCTGGAGGGCCGGTGTCCTGCAGAGTTTAGCTCCAACCCTAATTAAACACACCTGAACCACCTAACCAAGCTCTTACTAGGCATAGAAACTTCCAGTCAGGTGTGTTGAGGCAAGTTGGAGCTAAACTCTGCAGGACACCGGCCCTCCAGGACAGAGTTTGGACAGCCCTGGTCTATAGGATCCCTCAGATGACCCTACAGAATATTCTGGAAACTGCTGAGCTGTGCAGGGAGGAAAGCATGAGATCGTATAACAGAAATCGGTCAGCCCGCAGCCATAACAAACACAAAGGTAACAAATACTTCCAAACATCTGGTGGAACACGCCTACGCATATGCACAGACATAAAAAAACCTACAGGCACAAACCCACACACATATAAATACAGAAATGCTACAGTCTGTATTGTTATATGGAGATTTATCATCTCTAATGGCTGATCAGGCCCAGCCAGACTCTCTGCAGACTTTTCTCTCCTTTCCTCCTCCATTGCTTTGTTGGGAAAAGTGTAGAATTCAATTTTAAAAAGCTTAAATTAATCAAAAACATAAAATAAATAGGAATGGACAATATACCGGGACAGTACTGGTTAACAGCCAATATGATTGATGATTTTTTCATATCATATGATTTTGTATTTGATTTTTTCATAATATGATATTTGTTATGTAGGCTATTGTATTGGTCAGTACTAAATATTCACTGGCCAATATTTCAAAATAATCATTTTCTATGTTTCGTAATGTAAATTATAATGTTGGGATGCCTAAACTAACAAAGCTATTAGTTTTCCATTTTAGTATTTTTTATTCAATTTAGGGGATTTTTTAAAAATAATTTTCAGTATTGGCTAAAATGTATAAATTTTAAAATTAATTTATAAAGGAATTTATATATTACATTTATATGTAACAATAACATTTAATATATAAAATGTAATATGTAAAAAAATATATAAATATATAAAATATACAATTTTAATATAAATTTAATATATAAAATGAATATATAAACATATATTTATATAATAAAACAAACATACAAGGATTGGGAAATGCGTACAATTTATAAATGATGGACATTCCATTTTTACCGGAAATCAGATCCATTCTGTGGAGTTTTGCAGGCATAGATCCTATACATTGGATCATGACCTAAATCACAACTATCCATCCTTGACTTTTCCACAGGCTAGAAACACAATGTTGGATCTTTTATTCTTTAAAAGACTTTATGCTAGACATTGATAACATTCTGAATGATGACGTCAAGTCGGTCCATCTGTGTTTTTCTTTTGAGCAGTGTCTTCTCTCTCGCTCTCAATCTCTTTGTCGTCTTCCAGCTGTTTGAGTTTCTAAAGATGTGACAAAGCACAGCTGCCATGTTTATGGTGAAACATCTTCCAAAAAAGCCTCCCACCCACACTTACACCCCCGCACTGAGAATACTTGAGTTTGTCTTGAATCTCCGCCACACCCACAAATGTCAACCTCTGTCTGACTTTTCAGCTCGACCTTTCTTCAACTGACCCACACAAATGCATTTACACACAACAACACAAAAACATAAAATAATAAAGCTGTTTCCTGTTGATTCTTGTCTTTCTTCTGCTTTTTTATTGGTCACAAAAGAGACTGGAACAGTATTAGCCAGGATCAAGTTATCATATTACTGATACATCTGATACTGATACTTATATTATGATACATCCGGAGTAAGAAATTCAAAATATGGGGACTGCTTTCTGTTAATTGAATTTTAGAAACTATATTCTCAAAAGAGCAACTATATTCTCAAAATAATTACTCAGAATTTGTGTTGATGAATTGATTATATATATTATAATCAATTCATTATAATATTATATTACTATTTGACATCAAGGAAACAGATTATAAAAAAAACACAAATGAAAAATTAATAAAATAAATAAACATTTTGTGTTATTTGTGTAATTAAAATAATTGATGTAACAATGTTTTTTTTAAATAACACAGAACATCTTTACGAGCACATCAAACGGGAGACGTTTCAGACGCGCGCTCCAGCTTCACTTCAGCACCAGGCGCGAGTCAAATGAGCGTGGAAACAGTAGGCTTACTGTGCTCGTAGCGCGTGTCGCCGCACGCCGTAGCATGTCATTTCATATCAAAGCGTGAAATAAACTACGTGCATGCAATGTCATGGTCAGTTAAGTCATGAATTTACCAAAAAGGCAATTAAAGTTGTAAAGTTGTAAAATGAATTAAAACTGTGCGTGCATGTAATATATATATATTTCACATTTAAGAACATGTCTCTGAAATAGTTTTCAAAACTGTTCTGGAGCATCCTAGCACTGTCTCCTTCATCTAACACACCCGATTCAACTCGTCAGTTCATTAGTAGAGACTTTAAGACCTGAAGTGGGTCAGAAAAGGTAAAGAGTTTTGCGAGAAAATATGATGCATGTCAGATCCGCGTCACGTTCAGCAGCAGCAGCTCCTAAAGAAATAGCAGCCAAAACAACCTACTAACCAGCTGCTGTGATGTCTGTTCATCAAACAAAAAAAGAAAAAAAAGAGGAAATAAATAACTTTTATAGCTTTAAGGATTTATCTATATTTAATTTAGAATTTAGTGTTTGATAACTTCAATTTCAATTTCTGTATATTTCTGCTGAAGGGCACAGGTAAATATGACATTTACTATAATGGGTTTATGTGAAGATTG